CACGCTGGGCACGCTGGGCACGCTGGGCACGCTGGGCACGCTGGGGACGCTGGGGATGCTGGGGACGCTGCGCGGGGTGGCAGCAAACACAGCTGCATTGCGCGCGAGCTTTGCAGTGCTGAAGGTGGTACCTGTGCGACGCGGGTTGGGGGCAGCACCCAAGCGACGTGGAGTGGTGGCAAGCGGGCGACGGGCGAGTTTGGCTTTGCCATCCATCTCGTCGGCAGCGAGACGGAGAGCGAGCGGGGCGTTGACGACGAGGTTGTCGAACACGCGTGCACCGCCCGAGGAGAATTGGCGGGCGGACTGAAGACCCACGCCGCCTCGGAGGGGCGAGAGTGCGAGCTGGCCACCAGCGGGGCGGGCGCCGATGCCCGACAGACCGCCTCGGGCAAAGCCGAGCGAGGGCGAGGTGAAGCGGGTGTATGCGGCGCGGGCCGTGTTCTGGGAGGACGTCGCGCGGAAGACATCGGCAGCTCCGCGCAGCAGCGACGATCGCACGTGTGGGGCAGCGATCTTGATGGCTGCCAAGACGTGGCGCGGAGTCCAGACGCGCGTGGCGTGGCGGACAACGCCGGTGCGCAGGGCGTGTGTGGCGCGCAGCAGCGCCTTCTTGAGAACAGCGAGCGTGCTGCGTTGAGGCGCACGAGCGGCTGACGAGTAGCATCGGTGCGAGACGGCGCGCAGGTGTGCGGGGTTGTAGAGATGCGCGACGCGGAAAGTCGATGCGGGGCGTGGTGTGGGCGCGCTGGGTGGCCGCGATCGTACGCGCGTGTGCGCTGCCGAGCGCATCACGGCGCGCACCCGTCCAGGTGAAGGCCGTAGCAGCATGATTGACTGCCGCCGAATCATGAGATGGTGTCGAGATGGTGGGGCAAGAGGGTCGAGTGCGGGGTGGCAAATCGGACTCAGCCAGGGTCCGCCGCTGCACCGCCCTGCAGGGTCGCTTGCGTGCCTCTCTCGCGCGAGTGGTATCCTAGCTGTTAGATCCGACTTCACCGCGCGCGAAACCCGAGCCGTTCTGGGCGTGATCTGAGCGCGGCTTTCTCGGAAGGTGTTGGTCTTGTCTCTCGCTCTCTCCCTCTCGCTCCCAACACGATCTTGCAACATGTCGTCGGAAGCTGCTGCCTCGCTCGCTGGTGCCGCCGGTGCGGACGCCACATCCAACGTGCGCGACCTCAAGCCCGTCATCAAGAACGTCGACATGGCCGAGGACATGCAGGCGCAGACCATCGAGATCGCCTACGACGCGCTGGAAAAGTTCACCGTCGAGAAGGACATGGCGGGCCACGTGAAGCGCACGCTCGACCACAAGTTCGGCCCCACCTGGCACGCCGTCGTCGGCCAGCGCTACGGATCCTACGTGACGCACGAGACCAAACACTTTATCTACTTCTGTAAGTGCTCAATCCAAGCAGACGGAACAAGGGACGCGTTGCTGACTCTTGGGGTTGGGGGGCGCGCGAAACAGACCTTGGTCAGATGGCTTTCCTGCTCTGGAGGGCGTAATGCACGCAGACTGCAATTCCGAAACGCTTTCAAAAGTTCAGCTTTCAACCGCCAAGACGGGTTCGTGCCCACTGCAGGCTGCGCTGGATGGCAGCGACGATGCCGAGCGATGGCATTTGGTGCGGGGTTGTATCGCCCGCCGCGTTGGCATTGGTGGGGCTGTCTTTGCGGTCGGCAGTGGCGCTTCCCCACCACGCGTCGAAGATGCCGGGTGTCGAGTCGGTGGCGCGCACCGGACGGCCCCACATGTCGTACGTCACGGGCTCGGCGCGATCGAGTGCGCGGTCGAGCGTATGCTCCGGCAGTGCGTGGTGCTGCTGGAGCAGCTGCGAGACCTCGCGCACGAGTCGGGGCACCGCACGCGCATACATGCCCGCCAGCTCTACATCGAGGTTCATGAGCCCCTTTCGCGCTGTAAACGGCGCCAGATGATTGTGTCTGCGAATGAGGTCATTGAGTCGATCCAGCTCGTGTGTATGGTAGGCGCGTTCGCGCGCCTCCCATTCTGCATCCCTATACCGCGTAGCCAACTCCACCAGCGCCTTCTCCCCCCTCGTCCTGGCCTCTGCCTCGGGGTGGAGTGGTTCGAGTCCCGAGGCGAGGTGGGAGGTGGTGATCATCCTACTGGCCCTCCTTACCCAGCTATCCGCACACCGCGCGCGCCAACTTTGCAGCTGGGCATCCAGTTCGGTGTTGAGTTCGACCCAGGGTGGGGCGGCGCCTTGGCGCTTGACGATGCGGTTCATAAAGTACTCTTCGCGCGCCAGGAAGGGGTTCTTCTCGTCCATGTCGCGCTCGATCGGTCGACCGCGCAGCTTATTGTGTCTAAACACGCCCGCTTCTTGCGCCGCCTTGATGCGTTTTTCCACCACACTGTCCCAGCCCTGGGCATGGCCCAGCTGCAACTGCAAATCGCGCGTCACGTCCGATACCTCATCCCCAACCCCCTCCGAGGAAGAAGGCGAGGGTTTGGAGAGTTGGTAGTCGAGGACGCTTTCGCGCGCACGCACCAACTTTCCCCGTCGCTCGGCCGACTTGAGCCCCTGGCGTAGCTGCGTCATGGCTTTCGAGTCGTCGGTGCGCATGGAGGCGGCCATGCCCGCAGCGCGGAGCTTGGAGCGCATCTCGGAACTCATGCCCGTATCTATGGGGGAAGAGGAGGATTTGAGGAATTGGCCGTAGTAGACGCTCGGTTCGTGCGTCGCATTGCCCAGGTGTGCAGGTCGAACGTACACCGCACGCCACGGCTTGGCATCCGGCGTCTTGGGAAGCTTGCGTCCGCCTTCGTACCCACCTTCGGCTTCGACACCCAGGATTGAGCTCGCAGGGTCTTGTGGCTGAACGGCTTGTCGCTCAATGGAGGCGGGGCCGGGGGCCGAGGGCTGTTGAATGCCCTGTCTGATTTTTTCGTCGGCGGGATCTTTGGATTCGTCGCCACGGATGCGTAGCGGTTTGTACTTGTCCATCACCATGCGCAGCACGGTATCCTGCACACGCTCCTCGCCCGTCCATGCTGGATCGTTCGGATCCGGTCCCTGCGTCTTCTTCGCCAGGGCACGGCGCTCTTCATCCTCGAGCCGCCGTGCGTCGTCGAGGAGCTTGTCGGCCCCCGTCAGATCCGGCTGCGAGCGCAGAACGCGGGTGCTCGTGCCGATACGTCGAGCCTGCAGCCCGCGTGAAGAGCGTATAGCTGTGCGTGTGCTCATCGTTGCTACGACTCGAGCAAACGAACCCCCCGACCCGAACGCTGGTGGATAGAATGGTCGTTCGCCACAACCAAGAGGCCAGAGTGGAGGCCGCACGCCAAATTGCCCGCGGCTGAGCCAAGACGCTCTTTCAGGGTCCAATTTCTAAACTAGAAATCGCCGCGCCTGTCCACCATCCCTTCCCTCATCAGGGCCAACCCCATCCTACTCCGACCTGCCGCTCTACACAAACTGGCTGCCAGGTGCACAGTTTTATCTGCCGTGTCAGGGTCAGCAAGGAATCTTGCCAAAAAAAAA